ACCACTTTCAGTCATTGTTCAATGCAAAAACTAACTAGCTCTCAGCTCTGATGTTTCATAGGTGATGTCAACCTGTCTCACTAACTCTGGAAAAAAATAAGAAAACATAGTAAAAGCTTCAACTCTGCAGAAATTTATCATCACTTGGTAAAATCTTGGCCCCTCAAAGATTTTCTTTTTCTAGTTCACTTTTTCAGGTAATCAGCAAACAGTGAACATTGCATTTTCTTGCTTTAACTAGGTCTGCATGTTGCCACGGAACAAATATGCAAATCCTCTCTCCCACATATTTTATATTTGGTAACAGAAGAAAAGTAGAATATTCTTAAATTGGTGCTGAAATGAATCCTCTAATACAGAGAGGTGGCTGTCAAGTGCAAGTCATATCCTCTATCAAGCCCATCATGCATCAAACATGCCCTTGAACAGAAAACATGAAGAAAGATTAAAAACAAACATGACAGTTCTCACAGACACAGGTATAACTCCCTAGAGACTCTACAGAGCTTGCATTCTTTTATTGCAGTGGTTGGTGTCTGAGACAGACAGACACCCACCCACACAGATTCATACACACACACACACACATTGCCAGGCTTGCACTACTCATGACACTGAAGCAGACACTAACGCACATTTACACTCATATAATGCTCAGGATGCAAAGAGTGGAGCGCCAGCAGCGGGCTCCTACTGTCTCAGCTCAGAGAACAGAAAAGAACGCACTGCTGTCGTGCCAGACAGTGCTAGTGTCAGCAAAGTGACACCCAGAATAGATTAGATTACATTTTCCGATTTGGGGGTTTCTCAGAATGTTCCTAATCTCCAGAACAAAGTGAAGATGTGACATATTTGTGACCTTTATTGTTGGGGTATTTTTTATCACATTAAACCAAAGGTGTGTATTTCATACAGGACACTTCACTCGTGTTTATAAGAAATGCATTTGCCCCCTGAATATAATTATGAAAGAAACAGGAAATTCTTAGAAAAACTTAGAACATTTGCATTTTTTGTTAGCAATGCATTCGCTTTACTTTCAAAACAAATTATCAATACAACATTTAAAAAGTTGTATTTTAGTTCGATTGAATAGCACAGTTGTGATGTATATGATTCCCCCAAAATAAACTGAAAATACAGACTTCTGTAAAGTGTTCTCAGTGTGCAGGAATTTTGAATGTTTCTCTCCAGCAAAAATTCTATGGACAAGCGACAGACACTGTAATGTGTAAAACTTAGTCAGACTGTTTCTGTTCTCTCTGCACTCCAGTGTTATCAGAATAATCTGATCTGCTAAGAAAATGCTAACACCATGGCCTTGATATAGTTCACTAAATTTTTCTCAAGTTTGTTCTTTCTGTAGTGAAGTAGATTTTGGGTAGGCTTTTACATGATGTCCACAAATGCAGCACTTACATCCACAACTTCCCAGCTGATAATTAGAACCTTACAAGAAACAGCTGTGCTTCGCTACCAAACCGAGACATTTGGCATTCTTTTCCCATCCAAGGTGGCCGATAGCGTTAGGGGGCTAAGCACTGCAGAGCGGTTTGATTTCTTCAGGAAAGCTGCTCATTTCAGTATTGCCCTTTAGAGAGTAGTACGTGGGACTCTTACACGTTTGTTATAATGTGGCATATAGTAGGGTGGACCTTGATGACTGCTTCCCTCTGTTTTGTTACAGGATTGTTCCACATTGCTGCAGTCTTGTTGTAGCCTTGTTGTCATTTTACAAACGTTTACGCACTGGGCTTGACTGACTCCTGGTTTTATGGTGTTTTACTCTGAACGGTTTGATATATTTTAATCATGGTTTTACAAAGAACTAGTGATGCAAACGAAATGGCTCTTAGAGCCAGATCTTTGACGTGAACGACACGAGCCAGCTCCTTATCGCGAGCCGTGGATTGTTTTTTTTTTTTTTTTCCTTCACTCACCCTCTCTCTCTCTCGCACTTTTTTCAGCTTTACTCCACACCTGAGCCTTGTGCTCTGGGCTGGGATGAGGGGGGAGGGGCGGTAGTTACACTCGCAGTAGCACAGGAACAGAGCGGGAGGGACAGCAACGTCACATTAGAAAGGTGTAGTAATCATCCACAACTTGCGGATGCAACTTGCAGTTGCGAATGCAAGAGAAATGATCAAATAAGTTGTGAAGGGCCAACTTGTGATCACTAGAGAACTGAGGAAAACCACCTTGAAGCTGGAGCTCTTGTGGGGTATCCCTGGTTTCAGTTGTCAAAACTGGACAAAGGAAAGAATAGTAGTGAATTTGCGACAGAGTCACCCCATACGGTAAAAAAATACATTTTTCCTGGCCAAAATATATTTCAAATATATGGTAAATATATTTTGTATTTGTGATGCTCCAAAAAAATATATTTTTGAAATTGAAAATGTATTTCTTTCAAACCAAAATACATTTCAAAACATATTTTAGGGTGAAGAAAATACATTTCCAACCTTACAGTAGAATGTATATCAAAGTATCCTTTATTTAAAATATATTTAGTGCAATAATGATGATAATGATAACAATACTAAAAGTAACATGTTTTATGCACATCTGCAAAAAACAGTTGGATTCAAACAAAACAGAGTCAAAGGTCTATCACGAATTAGGTTGTTTATTCATTTGCTTACAGTATTTCACATTACACAATATCTCACTATAATGTAGCGTTCATTGACTTTGAAATTATCTGTCAGTGATACAGTAAACAAGATACAACAACTGCTATGTACACTTTAGTTTTTGACAATATATACAATTTAGTATTTAAAGGAACACACTCCACTGTTTTGGAAATAGGCTCATTCTCCATCTCCCTCAGAGTTAAAAATGCAGCGTCTTCTTTCTAGATCCGTACGTTAATAGGGCTCTGGAGCGTGATCTTACGGGATGGGGCGTAGCCACGATTTTTGGTCAAGGCACCATATTAGCAGGCCAAACAAATGCTTGCTGTGTGGTCGGTTGTAATGTTAGATTGCACTACCGACAAAGGAATAAGCTTGAAAACAGGCTCTCTTTTCATTGTTTCCTCACCTGGAAACATCATGAGGGAGCTTATGTGTTGGATGTTACCAAAAGAAGGCGTCTAGCCTGGATAGCAGCTGCGAGACGAGCTGATATTCAGTTCTCTACCAGCCACAGATATCTGTTGGTGTGCTCCAGTATTTTCATTCAGGTAAGTTCTAAATAAGTTCATATTATTATTTATAGCCTGTTAATTTTATTTTCAATAGCACAAACTTAGAACAAACATGCAGAACTACCTTCTATTTATAGAGTTGCTAATTATTTGGCATTATTGCAACAAACCAGCCTATGAAATGAATGAAACAAATCCTGACTGGGTTCCAACACTACACATGGGGCACTACGAAATCCCTGCTTCAAACTACATGCTACATGCCACCATGCCAATCAGATTACTTCTTCCATGTGAGGGTAAAAAGGTGACCTTCCTGGATAAGATGGCAAAGGTTTGCTGCGTTTTGGTGAACATGTGCCCCAGTGTGGTAGTAAAACCAGGGAAAAATGCTCTTGTTAAATACTTTTAAGTCTTGTGCTGTTTATGTAGTGATAAGTTTTCAAAAGAGACAGTAAATTACAGAATGCTAGTAGTGGGTGATATTATACAAATGCTGTCATGATTTTATGTGAACATTTTGTCATTTGTAAACTATACATAACATTTTTTCTACATTGTAACTGATGTGATGTTCGACAAAGTGCTTTTAATTAAAAATAGGCAAACATTTCTTTGTTTCTTTATTCAACTTTTGAACAGTGGTATTTAGTAAGTACATATTCAGTAAATGCAAAGTATTTACATGGCCCCCTAAATTAAAACATTATGGGTTATTCAGAACAGAACTATGCTTGGAAAAATATTGTCCCATCAGTTGATCCAACTCCTCCACAGTAGCAGGTGGAACTTTTCTTTTTTGAGGATGGCTTCTTTTACCTGTCACAACGAATGGTCTGTTTATGTTTTGATCAAGAACCTTTTTTTTGGGCAGCTGAAGAGGAGAAGTCTATCTTATGGCCAACCTCTGGCTGTATCTTGGTCATATTACCCAGCAAAACCCAGTATGCAGGTTCATCTGTAACAGTCCTTGTGCCACAGATCCTCACTGTTGCTTCTACATTAAACAGAAGAGCAGTGACGTGGCTGCAAGTCTCCACGACTCTAGTCATACAGCTGCAGTGGGCGGCTTCAACCTTCCCTGTGATGCTCACAATGACCTGTGGCTGCAATGCTGCAATTCAGTCTTTAAGAGTGCAGGACCTAAAACACACACAGACAAAGTTCATTTAAAGACAAGAACTTTAATAAGCCAAGTCCGACACAAATGTGTTTTATTTACTTTCAAATCCATTTATCATAAATGTAACAAATAAAGTGTTTTTATGTATCCATCTATAGAACGCTGCATGTTATATTCTAAATCTGCATGTTTCTTTTTAGAAACCTATCAGCAAAAAATGAACCTAAAGTATGTAATGAATGTATTTTTAGTGACACAGGACACAAACAAGGAAGCAAGTCAAATCAAATCACAAATCAAATCACTTTTTATTGTCACATCACATGTGCAGGTACATTGGTACAGCACATGTGAGTGAAATTCTTGTGTGCAAGATGTGTAATTAGGATTATTTATAATAAATATGAATTAATTAGGGCAATTTCTTTAACCATAAAGAATAACTAAATCCTTCAGGACAATGTCACATCAATGCACTGAACTCACTATGTTATCCCTCTAACAGAGCCTCTACATGTTCTCACTGTAATTTCCCCCTCACGAATGAATTTTTACTAGCACTAATTTGAATGTTGGGGGGAATCAAACGCATTTTACTCGCAGTACTCAAGCTGACTTACCTTTGCTTGAATGACGCCGTACTCACAACGTGGAGGCTTAAAAATAGCCAAATCTTGTACCCAGTCCTTGGTGAATTGGATGTGCGCCTCAAGAGATTTATAATTGCGAAATTGGTGCGCCGTGTATGCTCTGACTCCACAGACAAGGTATGAGAGTAGATCATGCTAAGTCAATAGCGGTTTGGTCTTCAGGGTTTCTACTCCACGGCTATATTTCATACGGGTCCACATTTCAACAATCAAGTACCGTCTCTTTGCATCTGGACAGAATCTGTCTCTATACCGTCATTTTCTTTTGAGCTACGTTTCAGAATGGTTCGTAGCAATCTTGTTTTGATTCGTGACCTGCCAAGATGGTGCTGCGCTCCCACAATGCATTGCGACATTACGTCAACTCCAAAGCCCTTTGCGTGCAGGAGTGTATGCGCATGCGCATTGCCACGGTGGTTTAAAAAATAAAGATATAATGAAAAGTAATTAATAAAAATTAAATATTTAAACATTCCCACAAATGTGCAATGAACGTGCAAAAACTCTCTTTAGTAGTTGTTGCTGTTTCTTTCTTTCTTCTTTTTTTTTTTTTTGAAAAATAACGACGTCTCTGAGGTGCGAAATTTGACAGCGAGAGGAACGGCCGGATACAGGAGACGGGAAGAAACAAGCCGATTATGTTCGCGTTAATTAAGTGGTTGGAAGATGTAAAATTCTCAATTCTGCCAACTGAACATATACGAGATTTTAATGAGGATGAATAATTAGCCGGCATGGAGGAAACGGACCTTTATTTCATGGAGTGGCGACAAGAAGCCAAGGCGGGTGGCCAGTCTAAGAAGCCTCCATCATCAAGCTAGCAGGTGCCTTTTCCCATATAACTTTATTCTCGTGTATTTGGAACGGAAGCGTAGAGCTGCCACCCAGGCAAAAGAGAAATATAAGTATATCACGTTATAACGTGAAAAGTTTATCGTTCTAACAATATACTATCATGTTTGAACAACATGTTTGAACAACATTGTACGAAAAATGTACATAATTATCACGTCCGTACAATATTGTGCGAACGTGACAATTATGTATATTATAATAACGTGATATTATATTATACAAACATGAAAAGCATAATGTTAGAACAATAAACATTTCACGTCATAACGTGATACAGCTCTATTTTTCTTTTGCCTGGGTGGCAGCTCCACGCTTCCATAATTTGGTAATCAAAATATGTAACTTAATTAATTATATTGTGACGTACTTTTGCCTTTTCTTATTATTCTGCCTTCTCAATAACTATCAAAGCCTATTCACATTTAATTTGGCTTTCACAGAAATCCTACCTCTCCTTCTGGCTACAGAGTACTTACCAAGGTTAGAAACAAAGAACAGTTATGCTTTATTAATGTTCGCTAATTACAATGTTCCACATTTCCTTGCTTTTTAAGTCATTTTTAGGCTTTTTAGAGTTTTTGTTTTTTATTTTTTTAGCAGTAATGTTTCTGCCTATTTATTTCAGCCCATGAAATCGAATGCAGATCTTCCTAATGTGAGATTTACATAAATGTAAGTAATTTTGTTTGTCATTGTCATTAATGTTGTTGCTGTTGTTGTTTTTGTGCAGTTTGCAATCATATAAACCTAGTAAGCATCAGTCAGCACAGTGACTAACCTAAACAGATTCTTGCTTTATTCACATATATTATATGTAATTATATATACCTGCACATTGTACCTAGGGTTGCAGCCACTTGGCCCCACCCCATTGTTGTGACAGCCCTGATTGTACTTATACACTGCATCTGAACAGGGAACAGTCTGCCACATTAATGTATTTTTAAGTGACTTGTTTGTAATACATGAATTTGTTTTTTACAGATGTCAAAGTCTCAACCTCATGCTGCCCTCCCCCATCCTCCTAAAGTAAGTATTTGTTGTTGTAGTTTTTTATGCGGTGTCTGTGTCACATGCTAATCATAATTATTGAAATAACTGTTTTCTAACAGATTTTCCAAAACACTAGTTATGTTTGTTGTCATTCAGACCAATACTACTGCTTAGACATTGCATATGCATAGATACAGTCGTAGTGCTTGACACATGCAAACAGCAGTAGATGTACTAAAAAGGAAATAATTACAATCATGATGTTGATTGCTGATGTCAGTATATATATTTTAGAGGAATGTTTTGTTTTTCACCCAAAATGAACTATATTGCTTCAGAAGAGATTTATTACCCTACCGGACTCTTATATATTGTTCTGTTTTTTGTTTGTTTTTGTTATTTTCAGGTTCAATGGTGCGTGTTCTTCTAATGGCCGCCTTCCCACTGGAGGTTTTGATCCACAGCAATTTAAAAGGTAATCAGCTTTGAAAGTCAGTTCAAATGGTTAGCTAATAGTACTTTAAAAAGCCTACAACTCTGTCACCAGTTTCTTTACCAAAAATTACCCATAAAAGTATCGCTCAATAGCATATATTGTAGTTCAAATGTTTAGTTGTACAAATATCAAATTTTTGGAAATCTAAAACTAGTCAAACACTCAAATGTTCATGCTTTTTATAGGAGGACAGAGCAAAACGGACATCGGCGCAGAGTGAAGAACTGCCCTTGATAAGGACACTATGACAGCCATATATAGTAAGTGAAGACTTTCTGTGTATCTAAAATTGCATACAGCACAAGTAACTTACTTTGCAACCATTAAAATAGGTTGTAAAGTAAGTTACCAATACAAATAGGTGATGATGCATTGTAGTGGTTGGTCTCAGACAAAGAAGGTCAACAGATTTATGAATGCTGGAAGGTAAGGAGAGACGACCAAAAGGGGTGTTAGCATTACTGTAATGTGAACTGGATAGACTTCCCATCTAGGAAAAAAAAGAGGTAAAATTATGCGTAAAATATATCTGTATTAATATCTGTATCTATATAAACAGAAATATCTGTTTGCTAAATGAAGCCAGCTAACATAAATCACATTTGTATTTTAACTCTGATAAAAGTAATAGAACTGTGACTTTTGTTTGTTACAGTGGCGGTAAGGAAGGGGTTTCCCAGCGTGTCCAGAAGGGCTTTGAGGATTGCCGTGAAAGCTGGGGGAACTGAGACTGCTGGAAAAGGAAAAGAAATTACATTTTAAGTATGCTGACTTATGTTCATACAATCACACACACATATACACATACACACACATATGTGTGTGTGTGTATGTGTATATATATATATATATATATATATATATACACATATATGTATATGTGTGTGTGTTTCTTTTAGAATGTTTAAGTATGTAATGAGAATAAACTTATAAAATGAATATTCCTTGCTTGATTGATATGCTATATGTATGTTTTAAACATCAAATAAAGATTTCTTTCAGATGTTACATGTGAATGTGTTTTCTTAGAAATATATGAAGGGTTAAATTTATATTTTTTTGAATGATTTTAAATAAATTTAAATTGTATTTTGAAATATATTTTATTAATATATTTCAAAATATACAAAAAATGGCCAAAAAATATATGTGCTAAAATACATTTTAAATATATAAATATATTTTAAAATGTATTTTAGCACATATATTTTTTGGCCATTTTTTGTATATTTTGAAATATATTTCAAAATGTATTTTAAAATATATTTTTTTACCGTATGGGACGAGTGGCCAAGGCTCACTGATGCACACGGGAAACAAAGTCTGACCCATGTTGTCTGATCCAAAAGACCTGCTACAGAAAAAGTCCATGCTAGTTTTGGTGGAAAAGTGTCAGAATAAATAGCACATCATGATTTACTGTGTAGGGGGCTACATAGCTGCAGTCAGGGTGCCCCAGTAGATCCTTTTCTACAGCTGAAAGCGTCAAAAATGGACACGGAGCATCAAAACTGAATCACAGAGCAATGCAAGAGTGGAATCTGTCTAAATCGCACATTCTTAAATGTCACATGAATGGCTGGGTGTGTGCATTGCTCACCAGGGGAACACACGGTTGCTTTAGCAACAAAAAGGGGGTCAACATAATATTAGGCAAGTGGTCATAATGTTATAGCTGATTGGTTTACATAAACAGCGGCTCGACGCTATCCGATCGTTCAGTCTGACGTCACTAGCCGTGTCTGGGCCTAAACTCTGCTGCAGGTCCATATATCAAATGATCACTGTGGCATTACTGAGAGTTAAAACACTGTCTTAAGTCTTTCATCTTTAATAAAATTATCAGCATTCTGCTCTACCAGGTGTAACAACTGAGTTTAACATCCAGGCATCCATGAAAACAGAATTTATGACATTTAATGGAGTTAGAAGTTAGCAGGAAGTTAGCTCGCTAGCTTCCATCTAAATACAATATAGCATGTCCTGACTGCGGCGGTTTGGAAACAAATTAAAACAGCTTTCTTATCACTTCCAACATAAATGAAGAAAGAAAACTAAACAGCAGTGACATTTGTAGGGTTACTGAAGTTTGGCTAGCTGGTATATAATGATGTGCAACGTGACCGCTAGGTTAGTCATTCATATGCTGCTGCATGGGCTGTGCTGTAGTTACATCGAAAGGTTTTAAAAACTGAGCTTAAATAAATGATTAGCGGTAATAAAAGCCGAGGGAGGTCAACGGTGATCACTGACTTTTTTTAGGAGCTTTTTGAGATTAAATAGAAGAAAATACAAAGCATTAAACATGTTAACAACACAAAAGCCATATTAAATGCAGACTACTTTAGGCCCGGAAGTAGGATTCGTCACGTCATCACTTAGCTAAACTATGGACACGCACACACACACACTTACACTGATAAGCACTCACTCATCCCCCCTCCCTTTCCAACGCCTTCGATGCTTGTGCCCTACCGGGGAAGATAGCAGTCAACTGGACCAGCACAGATGCTGCAGGACCGGATGCGCTGTCTACACCGGCTCTCTCTTACCCTTTACCCGCCCCTGTTGCTTGTCTTGTGTTTCTATGGTGTGCTTTTGTGCTGAGGTGTTTTTTCTGTTATCAAACTGTTCTCCCACTAGGAGCTCAGTCTGAGTGGAGTTTTTTTTTTCTCCTCTTACCTCATGTAGTGTATTTTCGTTGTTTTTTCCTATCAGCCTACCTTTCTGACATGTCTGCCCAATGTGATGTTTGTGTAAAGTTGGTCAGAAGGTTCCTTTCTAAGTGCGCATGCGCCATTAGCGTGCTGCCTGCTGTAACCCTAATCTCCCTCGGGATGAATAAAGTATTCTGATTCTGACTTAATAATCGGATAGCTTCTCTGCAAAATAAGGCAACAAATCAAAGATGCTTGACTCCCTGTTATAACTCACAAACGCAAGCCCTTAATGCAGATAATACCCAATCTGATAAAGAAACGGCACTGCACTCATTTAGAAAATCTTCCTTTGGCCTACTAAATAAATATGTAGGGCTTCCTTCATTCATTTGCACAACATCGCTAAAATTAGAAATATTTTCTTCCAGAGTGTTGCTGAAAGGCAACTTTATACATGTATCACCTCTAGGATGGACTAGATATAATAATTCATTATTTTCAGATGATTCTAAAAGCTTCTTAAAATGCCTCTGTTTCATCCACAACACTGCAGTGAAAGTATAACTGAGAATACAAAGAGAGACTGTCAAAGGAGCTTGCAAAGAAAAGCGTCTGGACTTCTTTAAGTTGCTTGAAGACATTTCACCTCTCATCCGAGAAGCTTCTTCAGTTCTAAGGTCAAATGGTGGAGAGTCCCAGATTTAAACCTAGTGGGAGTGTCCCCCCACAGAGGGACAAAAGGATCCCCTGATGATCCTCTAATCGCCTGAGCCAAGGTGTGAAACTGAATGTGGGTCCCAATCAGCCAGAGTTTCGGGTGAGCTCATTGTGAAACCTGGCCCCACCCAATCATGTGATTTCCTGAGGTCAGATGGCCCAGGATGTGAGTGGGCGTTAAGGCGTCTGGGGAGGGAACTCACAACTGGATTATAGATGGCAGATCCGCCAGCTATCTGACCTCAGGAATTCACATGATAAGGTGGGGCCAGGTTTCACAATGAGCTCACCCGAAACTCTGGCTGATTGGGACCCACATTCAGTTTCACACCTTGGCTCAGGCGATTAGAGGATCATCAGGGGGTCCTTTTGTCCCTCTGTAGGGGGTTACTCCCACTAGGTTTAAATCTGGGACTCCCCACCATTTGACCTTAGAACTGAAGAAGCTTCTCAGATGAGAGGTGAAACGTCTTCAAGTAACTTAAAGAAGTCCAGACGCTTTTCTTTGCAAGCTCCTTTGACTACGATTACCTGGATGACTGAGAACCTTCACAGACAAAGAGAGACTGTATTTATCCCATATTAGCTTCTCTTCTTTGGCTCACAGTGAAATTCAAACACAAATTCTTGAATAATCAGGCTACATCTTAAAGACGGCATAATATCTAACAGAGCATTTTGCTCTCAGACTGTTGGCTTACTTGTGGTTGATAGAGTATTTAAAAGTAGAATGGCATTAGAGCCTTCGGCTACCAGGCTCCTCTATCTTTGAACCAGCTTCTTGCTTGGGTTTGGAAGGGAGACGTTCTCTGTGCTTTTAAGTTAAGCCTAAAATGTTTGTTCTGGTGTGACTTTCCCCTCACCCCCCAAACAATTGGGCCATAGCTGCTCTTCTAGGAGTCAGGTTTCTTCCTGTTAAAGGGAGGGTTTTTTTTCTTCGCAATGTCCCTAAGTGTGATTCTGTGATTATGAGGGTTTCTTTCTGACTGTGTAATTAAGTTAACTTATGTTAGCTTTCTTTTATTCGCCAATAGGATCCAGTAGGTCTGGACCGCTCCATGTGTCCATATGGCTGCTCTTCTCTTCCTCCCAAACACTGACATTTTGTGGTGTTTTCATGAGAAGCATGAAATGAATTGAACTTGCAAACAATCACTTGTGAAACACGAAATATTGTGCTGTGTTTTTAATGCAGTGATCTTTAATTGAAAATGTATTTGGTTTGGAAGGCAGATAAAAAAATATATATAAACAACATTTTCATGTCATTTACAAGTTTGAGACTCTCTTCTAGCTTATCACCTTTGCATGAGTCATGTATTCTGCCAAGTAAGAATGTTTTGTTTATTTCATGTTGTTCTCACTGATAAGTGCAAACTTTTTTTTAGTCAAACTAGGCATTTAGAAAAGGACAGTTATTGACAGAGATGCGATGCCATTTGCTTATTAAAGGTATTTTCCCCAGCACCAGCAAACAGACGAACTGTTCTGGAGCTGTTCAGACCAAATTAGCATGCAGCTCTACAGTAAAGAGTCAGCTGCTAAAACACACGGGTGGAGCGAGTTGCAGCAAATATGAAAGAACAAGAAAACTCACTGAAGTGCACAACAAAACAAACTAGTTATACGTCATGGAAAGATGGGGACACATAGATGCAATGGAAAGTCACAGAGCTCTCAAACGGGAGGAGGCTTGCTGTAGAGCATCAAAAACACCCACAATCAGACTCACAGGGGAGACACAAAGCAGACTTTGGTTGGCTGACTTTGGATTGGAACAGCTTTCAATTACTGGTAGTGTTGTGCTGGCTTCTGGCCTGCCTGAGACAGCCGCCATCCCACATGGAATACAGGGAAGACCTCTCACTGTTAAGCAGCCAAGATTGCAGGATTCAGCTTGATCCATTACTGTTGTGTGTGAATGCCATTAAGAACAATGTTTACCTGTGTTATGTTTTTTTGCAGATAATAAAGCAATGTCAGATACAGTAGGTACTGACTGTCTGACCGATCTCATGTAAATATACCTGTAGCAACATCATTCAGTTTGTACTGATGTGAAAAAAATATTGCCACAATTTCCTGATCATCAACCTACCTGGTCCTTGATGAAAAAGTAAATGCTCACTACTAGAAACTCCTGAAAGACAATTTCTAGCCATAAGCAAACCAGACTGCTGCACCTATGCAGGA